GGCTGAGTTGGACCCACGGGGGCGCCCGGATTGGCCCGGCGTGGCCCGTTGCCTGAAACGCTGTCTGGGTCCCTGCTGGCGTTGATAGATAGTGAGCTTCCCGTCCCTGGAGGTGTGCAAGTGGAGCCTAACCCCTAATCGCTCAGGCTGGTGAGGCGGGACTCCGCGCTGGATGCATGCCCCCTCGCAGCTAGGGGACTGGCTCCGCGGTGCCCCAGCCGCCATCCTGATGTGTGTGTTGGGAGAGGTACAGAGGGAGTGGCTATGGCTCCTTTTTCATTGCAGGGACAAAGCCTCGTAGGTTTCATGCTGGTGTCAGCCTCCAGGTGTGTGGTCTCAGTGCACACACCTCCAGGCTGGAGGGTTAAGGAAACTGGTGCACAGGGCAGCCTGTGGTGGGGAAGTGGGGTCGAGCATGGAGGAGGCACTACCGCCTGGGCACCTGCAGGTGGTGAGTTTGGGAGGAGTGGAGCCTAGATGCCACGCAAGTGTGAGAGCTATAGTGTGTGTGACCGCAAGGTGGGGGTGAGAAAGAAGGGGCCAACAGCAGGTAGTGGAGACCCTCAGAGAGCAGGTGGTGGGGTGAGACAGGGAAGGGAGACAAAGGTGTGATGAGGGGAGGAGGAGAGAAGGGACATCCCCAGCATGTATGACAGCCTGTGTGTTCCCAGAAGGCTGCCACCTCCCCTGGAGCTGGGGTTTTGGGGGACCAGTGAGAGGGGTGGCAGATGGGCCTGGGGCCACAGCCTGGGCAACTGGGTGCCCAGCCCACTTGAATGCCCAACTAAGCATCCAGCTGGCTCAGGCAGGGATCCGGGCATTAGAGGAGTGTCAGGCAGAGTCTCCGGATGAATCTGGTGAGGAGGGAGTTCTGGCCAGGCTGGGCTCCTCTGCCAGCCATGACAGCTCTACACTGGCCAGTCTTGCCCTGCCCTGCACTGGCTATGGGAACAGGAGGGGATAGAAGGGGTGGGGGTACCTGGGTACAGGGGCTCTGTCTCTTCCCTAGCCCGTCCAGTTCCCCTAGACTTTGAGGTAGTCAGGAATCACCCTGAGTAGCTGTTGACCCCGTGGTTCGGGAACTGGAGAGCCTAGGTGAGCCCCTCACCCTTCCAGTCTTGTCTAGGTGGGTGGGAGCTAACAGTGCCCACTGTGGGGCTGAGGAGTAAATGAAGTGAGGCCGGGAGATGGCTCAGCCAGGCACGCTGGAGACATTCTATCACCTGTAGCTGCCACTTTGCCACTTGTGTGGGGTCAATTGGGGCCGGGTCTGAGCTGGGCTGTTGTCTGTCACGCTGCAGATATGCAGGGAGCATTTGGGGTCGCCTCTGACGTGTTTATCCCCAGGCTGCTGTCAGCAGGGCCAGAAAAGCTCTGTAAATATTTATCCATCCCGGTTCACAGCCTTCGGGGTTGATGAAAGCCCCGCAGTCCAGTGGGACGGATGCTGCTTCCCTTCTGGAGTCAGCAGGGGAGGTGAGGGGGAGATGGACCTCCCTGCCCACTAGCTGTGTGACTTGGGCAGGTTGCTTGATCTCTCTGAGCCTCAGTGGGGCACAGAATGGTGTGGCAATGCTCCCCTGCCTTCCTCATGGTCTAGCCAAGTGCCCTCCCCTCAGGGTCACCTCCTGCCCACAGCAGAGGGAGTAGCTATGATTAATTATCCTGCTGGGCCAACAGCAAACAGACCCAGAGAGGGGCACAGCTGGCCTGGCCTTACCCAGCAGTTTCCAGGCTGCGGTCTTCCCTCATCTCCCCCTTGCTGGGCACCTCCTCTTTTCCCAACTGACCCCAAGCCTCCAGCTTAGCCAGGAAACTGAGTTCCCTGAGAAATTCCTCGAGTATGTTTGAGGCTGTGGTTTGGTGCCTGTCAGAGGAGGGCGGGGTGAGCGAGCTGGGTACCCACCCCAGGGCAAGCCCAGGGAGGCTGCTGGCCGGGGAGGAGGCAGACATGCTGGGAGGAGGAGCCCTTCTCTGGAATGTGGGTTTTGGAGGCCAGCCAGAGCTGGGAGTTGGGGGCTGTGGGTGGGGAGGCATGAGCCCCATGTCTAGGTCCAGTTCTCCCCTGACTTGCTGTGTGGCCCTGGGCTGAGACCTTGACCTCTCTGGGCTCTGCATCTTCCCCTGGGAAATGAGGTATGCCTGGTCCCCAGCCCCCCAGGTGGTCTATGCCCACCACCCACCTCACTGCCTTCCAGCTGTCCCAGGGGGCCCAGTGTACCCATCTGAGGTAACAGGCTGCTTTATGCCAAGCCTTGAAGCCAGGGCCCAGGCCTGAAAGGACTGGGGAAGACAGAGTGGTAGCGGGGCAGGGAGCATGTATCCCATCCCAGTGAGGGGGGAACTGACGCCAAGAGCCCTTAGAAGATGCGCTCCAAACAAAAGACCCCCTCGGCTGGAGGCCCTGACTCTAGTGACTCCTGCTCACTCACCCTTCAAGACCAGTGAACACGATGTGGCTTGCAGGTGGACCCAGTGCAAGTCACTCTTCTTCTCTGAGCCTGAGAGCTCTCTTCCAGCTGCGACTCTTGTTTTATGATATAAAATCTAGAGACTTTTGGGAAGCTGGACGCCAGGTGGGTGGTGGGAACCGTAGGGGATTTGGTGGAGCAGATTCCCGGGTGTGGGAGGGGAGGGCCCACTGGGGCAAGACTCCAGGCCGGGGAAGAGGCTCTGCTCTGCTCCAGATGCTGCAGCGGGCGTTACAGAGGGAGGTCCTTCAGCCTTTGCCATGGCACCATCCCCATATGGCAGATAGGGCAGTCAGACGAGAGGAGGATGATTTGCCCATGGTCCCTCCTCCAGGGGAAGGGAGGCTCCATCCTGAAAAGCAGCGCAGAGTAGCAGGTCGGGATGGGCTGTGGGCACAGACAGCCTGCCACCAGCCAGCTATTCCCCTAGCAAGTTGTTTAACTTCCCTGGGCTCTTCCTCATCTGAGACATGGGGATGATGAAGGCAGAGATAGTGAGAGGTCCTGTCAGGGGAAAGAGAGTGTCCGTGGAGCTGTTAGCAAGGTTCTAGCCTAGACACAGGTGAGCTACAACAGCAACCAGCACTTACGAACAGTATGCCCAGTATCAGCTGAGCTCTGCCAATATAGGGGGACATGGGGGGAAACTAGTCCAGGCCCTCACACCCCAAATAGCTCCACAGACCCCAGGGTTTAGAAGCTCCAGGTGTCCAGAAGATCTCTTCCTCATGCGGTGTCCTTGGGGGCTGAGTGTCTCTTCCTGGTGACTCTGGAATCGGGAGCTGGGAGGTTGGGATGCTAACCGGAGCTCTAGGGTGCCTGGGGCCTGGGAGAGCCGCCAGAGGCAGAGGCCGAGGGTGGGGCCTGGATGGCCCGGCTCCTGCCCCAAATATGGCCGTGGTTAGGCCACAGCGGCCCTGACCAGACAGGCCCAGACCAGACAGGCACTGAGTTTCCCGACAAAGAGAACTGCTCCATGCCTCTCCCCACTGCCTTCCAGTGTCTCAAGCCTTCACCTCCAGCCTGGGATGCCCTTGCTGGGTGACCTCACAGTGTCTCCCACCCTCTCTGAGCTTCTGCTTTTTCCCTGCATGAGGCAGTGACCTCCATTCTGGGACTTGCAGAGGGTGGGCATTCCAGGTCAGAATCACCATTTGCGGTCTAGGGGCTCTGGCAGGGTAGGGCTGGGTGTCTGGTAGGGTGTCTGCCTTCTCCTCACACAGAAGGGGCCAGGAGACCACATCGAGCCCCACAGTGTACCCAGTCCTGGCAGAGTGTGAGACAAATTGCCCCCCAGAAATTAGATGTCAGTTCCAGGTGCCTGGCCCCATGCTGAGTGCTTTGCGGGCACCGCCTTGGCTCTTTCTAAGACCAACACTATAGGGAGGTATCATCCCCACTTGCCAGGTGAGCAAATCCAGGCAGGGCTGCAGCCCCTCCATACTGGGAAGTGGCTGCCATGGGTGTCCCGCGCAGGGACCAGGTCCCATAACTGGAGAGGGCAGAGTGCGGACAGGGGACACCCAGGAAGAAAGGGAGGTGGAAAAGTGTCTCCTGACGGTGCGGGGGGAGCAAGAGAAGCTTGCCTGGCCCCTCCTCAGAAGCTTTGAGGGGTCCATTCTTGGGTGGGTGCAAAGAGTACAGTCAGGAACTGTACCCCCACCCAGTCGTCACCAGCCCAGATGGCTGGAGTAGGTGACCTGCAGTCCCGGCCCTCCAGGAGGAGGCAGGAGACAGTAAGAGGCCTTGGAATCAGCATCAGGACACCCATCAGCCTGTACCAAAGGGCCTTGCTGTGTGACAGCCTCCGCTTGGCCCTGGACACAGGGGGCTGGGGTTGAGTGAGGGTGCACCAGCAGCCCACACCTCTGACTGTGGGCTGCCAGGACTCAGGGTCTGACTGGGCCTCCGCATCCTCTCTCCTGCACAGGATGCCCACCGCCGCCACCCAGTGAGGAGGGGGCCACAGCTCAGGCATGAAGCTCCCTCCAGCAGCCCAGCACCTGCCCCAGCCGCCCAGGAGGCCCCTCGGCCTGCTGGCAGCCCCAGACCTCCCCGCTGCGGCGTGCCTGACCCACCTGAGGGGCTGAGTGCCCGCAACCGACAAAAGCGGTTCGTGCTGTCGGGCGGGCGCTGGGAGAAGACGGACCTCACCTACAGGTAGGGCCAGCGGCCTCCAGCAGGCTCTCAGCCTCTACCTGTGTGTCCACGTGTGAGCCTGCTACCTTCACCCCTGCTTCCTGAAACACAGGCTGGGGCTAGATCCTCGTGGCCCACTGACCCCTGAGCCATCCATGGGCCAACACCCAAAACCCACACTTAGATGCACCACAGACAGTACCCACCCATCCAGGCCCTCCCACAGCAGAGGGGCAGTGCCTCCTCTGTGACACTCAGCACACGGGTAGGCATCCCATAGACACGTGGGGGCATGGCCTTCAGTCCCCCAGCCAGTCTCTATGGGGACCTACTAAGGGCCAGGCCCTGGGACTCTGTGGTAAACAAGGCAGACACGGCACATCCTCTTGGGGAGCTAAGCATTAACCGTGCCATGGTTCAGATCCCTTGGTGCAACCTGGATCCGCTCAGATGATCTGAGGCCTCTGGGAGTGATACAGAAGCTAAGACTTATGCATCCTACAGGGGGCGCTCAGCCTGGGAGACAAGGCGTGAAGACAGGTGTGGTGTCCCCTGGTACTGGAGCTGAGACTTCTGGGGACCCCAGAAATGCCCTAGGTGGGGAGCTGGGAACTAGGAGGGGGCGGGTCCAGGGGTCAAGGTCTCTCCATGGTGAGCGGTATAGTCAGGTCTAGAAGGTGGGTCTTGGGGCTCCTGGTTCTGTGTTCTTTCCACCTGGTGCAGACACCTGTGTGCCCGTAAGGACACACAAACACACAAAGATGTGCCCATGTGGTGGAGGGACCAGTGTGCAACACCAGAGGCCCAGAGCACACCTGGCCTGTCCTGAACCCATGAGGCCCCACTGAGCGTCCAAGGGCAACTCCTGACCCAACAGCCATTGGGGCTGACCCTGCCCCAAGCCAGGCCCAGGCCCCTCCTCCTCCTCCCAGGATCCTCCGCTTCCCGTGGCAGCTGGTGCGGGAACAAGTGCGGCAGACAGTGGCGGAGGCCCTACAGGTGTGGAGCGACGTAACACCACTCACCTTCACAGAGGTGCACGAGGGCCACGCTGACATCATGATCGACTTCACCAGGTGAACCGGTGGCCCGGGACCCCTCCAGAAACAAGCCCCACCTGTCAGCAGCCACTGACTCTGCCCCTGCCCCTCCCGCAGGTACTGGCATGGGGACAACCTACCGTTTGATGGCCCTGGGGGCATCCTGGCCCACGCCTTTTTCCCCAAGACCCACCGAGAAGGGGATGTCCACTTCGACTATGATGAGACCTGGACCATCGGGGACAACCAGGGTATGGGCTGGGGACGTACCTTCCAGATGAGGCCACTGAAAATCGTAGAGAACAGGGACTTGCCAGGGTCCCTGAGCTGGGTCCGAGCACAGTGTCTTGCTGCAGGAGGCTCGGGGATTGCTAGGCTATCTCCCTTTTCCAGGCACAGACCTCCTGCAGGTGGCTGCCCACGAATTTGGCCACGTGCTTGGGCTGCAGCACACGACGGCGGCTAAGGCCCTCATGTCCCCTTTCTACACCTTCCGCTACCCACTGAGCCTCAGCCCGGATGACCGCAGGGGCATCCAGTACCTCTACGGCCGGCCTCAGCTAGCCCCCACCTCCAGTCCCCCGGACCTGGGCCCTGGGGCTGGGGTGGACACCAACGAGATTGCGCCGCTGGAGGTGAGGTCCAGGAGGGTGGGAAGGCAGGAAGTGAGGCCCTACTCCCAGCTCCCCACCAAAATGGCCTCTGTGGCTCCAGTATGGGCTCTTTCTGACTCTTCTCTCCTACCCTAGCCGGACACCCCCCCCAGACGCCTGCGAGGTTTCCTTTGATGCGGTTGCCACCATCCGTGGAGAGCTCTTCTTCTTCCAGGCAGGCTTTGTATGGCGGCTGCGCAGGGGCCGGTTGCAGCCTGGGTACCCTGCGCTTGCCTCTCGCCACTGGCGGGGACTGCCCAGCCCTGTGGACGCAGCCTTCGAAGATGCCCAGGGCCACATCTGGTTCTTTCAAGGTGAGTGGGTAGGGGCTGGGGGGGGTCACTCAGGAGACTTCTGGGAACATCATGGCCAAGGGTAGGGACAGACAGACAGAGTGGGCAGATGGAGGGTGCCCTGAAGCCTCAGGGCCAAGGAACAGCACACCTCACTCCTCTGGGCACAGCTGGAGGGCTTCCCGGAGAAGGCAGCTCTCCAAGTGGGAGTAGAATAGAGAGTATTGCACAGTGGGCCTCGAATTGGCACCCTGTGGAGTACGTGTGATTATGCCCCTGGTCTAGAGACGAGGCTCTGGGGCTTGGAGGTGGTGAAGTAAGCTACCTAAGGGCATAGCTTGGAAAAGGCAGAGCAGGGATGTGACCTAGGTCTGGCAGAGACTAGAGCCTGGGGCATTACAGGTGGCAGGGATTTCACAAAGGCCCAGCCAGGGCCTGCTCTGGCAGGGCCCGGCCCAGGGTGGGCAGCAGGCACTTGTCTGGGGCAGCCACACGCAGGGAAGGAGTGGGAACCCAGGCGGCTTCTCTGTTGCTTAGAATAACCTTTCCCACATGGATCTCCCAGCACCTGTATCGCCCAGCATCCCTCATGGTTTGTGTGGGTGGAGGCGATGCCAAGCAGACATTATTGGCCTCTGACTTTTATGGGCAAAGACACTGAGGCAGAGAAAGTAGATGGTGGTGGTGGCGGCTGGATGTGGCAGCTGGGCAGCTCTGGTGAGCCTCCCCTCTCTGGCAGGTGCTCAGTACTGGGAGTACGATGGGGAGACGCCAATCCTGGGCCCTGCTGCCCTCTCTGAGCTGGGTCTGCCAGGATCCTCGGTCCACGCTGCGCTGGTCTGGGGCCCCGAGAAGAACAAGATCTACTTCTTCCGAGGTGGAGACTACTGGCGCTTCCACCCCAGCACCCGCCGTGTGGACAGCCCCGTGCCCCGCCGGGCCACTGACTGGCGAGGGGTGCCCTCTGAGATCGATGCTGCCTTTCAGGATGCCGATGGTGCGCTGGGGGCAGGGTGGCTGTGGAAGTAGGGGCTGGCTGGCAGTAGCTCTCATCACAGGTCCTTTGTGCACAGCACCTTGCTCTACACCCTCTCCTGCTGCCAGGGCAGTGCTGCACCATGGGCTGCACATGAGGAGATCTGAGGGCCAGAGAGGTGCAAGGACCTTCCCAGGTCCCTCGGTGATAGCTGGGAAAATCGTAGTCACTGTTCGCTGGGGGCTGACGAGGCTCCTGGCACAGTGCTGAGCTCCCTACATGTCTCATGCAATTATGTGCCCAGTTGCCAGAAGAGCAAACAGAGGTTCACGTGATGAGGTCCCTAACTAGGGCCACCCAGTGGACAGTGGGGAGCCAGGACCCCACTCAGGTAGTCCCTGCTCCCAGCCAAGAGCCACTCAACCTCCTGTGATCTCAAAGGACTATATCAGGGACTCCCAGTCCAGTGCTCTCTCTCATGTCCCCACATTTGCTTCTGTGCTTTTCCACATCGGGACCACTGGGAGAGCTGTCCTGCAGTGGTCCTAGGCTCTGGGGCTCCCACGTTGCCAGTGTCACCCACCTTGACCCAGGGCGCAGGAGGGTTGGTGAGGGGAGTGAGAGTCGCTTTCCCCAGAGGCAGGAGTTGGGCCTCTGAGGCTCGGCCTCTGTCAGGCTGGGTAGTAGCTCAGATCAGACCCTGGGGCAGGCAGAAGGGCTCAGCCAAAGGAAGCCAGGTTCTGGAAGGGACACCCTGGGGCCTGAGGGTTTCAAGAAACTCAAGAGTGGCCAAGGCCTGCCCACCGGGACCTCCCCCTGTGCCCAGCCCTGTGCCCACTAGCCCAGACTGACCCTCCTCTCTCCTCAGGCTACGCCTACTTCCTGCGTGGCCGCCTCTACTGGAAGTTCGACCCTGTGAAGGTGAAGGCCCTGGAGGGCTTCCCCCGCCTCGTGGGCCCCGACTTCTTCGGCTGTACTGAGGCTGCCAACACTTTCCGCTAATGACAGCTTAGATGTCCTCAGGGCCCCGACCCCTGCCAGGCCACTGATGGCTAGAGACTGTGGCCATCTTGGTGGCTGTGGGCACCAGGCACGGCTCGGAGCCGTGTCTCCTCAGGGGGGGCAGGGAGGGACTGCAGGAAGGGCCACGCGGGTCGTGGCCACTGCCAGCGACAGTCTCAGACTGGGCAGGGAGGCTTGGGCATTAAGGGTGCAGGTGGCCTTGGGCTGGCTCTGCCCTACCTGTGCAGGTCATTGTCAAAGCCAACTGCCCCTGGTCTCCTTCCCATCCTTCAGGGTGGGACCTCAGCAGGGCTGGGGTAGCTGGAGCCCTCACTGTCCCTGCTGTGAGGTCCGGCAGGGTGCTGGCACTTGGGTCCCGAGGTCCCATGCCTTTAGCCCTTTACTAAGTCAGCTCCAGAACGGGCTGCCTTCCAGTTGGTGATTCTAGAAATCTCCAGGATCCAGGCCAAAAGGTCCAGTCAGCTGGGGAGGGAGGTGCTTCTTGTCAGAGACCCCGGGCCCTGGAGGCCCCAACATACCTCAGTCCTATTGTGGGCTGGATCCCCTCCAGCCCTCAGCCCACACTGGGCCCTCCAAAGCCATGTAAATGTGTACAGTGTGTATAAAGCCTTTTTTTTGCCTTTTTTTTTTTACTGAAGACTGTCATTAAACATGGTCATTTTCTACCTGCCTGCCTGGGGTCTCTCTGTGACTGCAAGGGCAGGATAGGGGGAGAGTTGGGCCGGGGAGGTGGGAGGCCTGGCTGGGGACCTGCTGTCCTGGCTCCCACTCCTGTTCCATCTCGTCTGGCTGGATGCCTGGAGTGGCTTTGTAATCTATTCCCACTTCCCTGGTGGCTGCTCAGATCATCCTCCACTAAGTGGTGGTCACTCTTTCGGATCATGCCACGCCCCAGCCCCTATCCCACTGTTCAGGACACAGAACAAAACTCTGTTACCATGGCCCAACCTTCCTAGCTCTACAGGATCTTAGCCTCCACCTGGCCCCACACGCATCTTTTTCATAGCGGCACTTATCACAGCTGTAGTTTATTAGACAGGACCATGGGAAACTGTCAGCCCTGGGCCGTTTATGACCTACAGCATTCTTCAACCGGTTACATGGCTTTGTTGCCTTCCTGGGTGTCAGGCCCCATTCCGGCTGTAAGTGCCCCAGGGCAGGACTGTCTGGTGTCAGTGAACTGGGAGTTAAGGAAGAGAAGCAGACTCCCTCCATCATGATGGGCCAGCCAGTGCGAACACCACCTGGGCCTCGGAATCTTGCCAAGCCCAGAGCAGCCGTCCCCGCCAGCTCCCTCCCAGTGTTGTCATTCTGCCCTTTCCAGCCGCAGAAACAGCTGTGGCCTGGAACTGGATATCTGTTCCTGCAGCTGCCCCGCGTTCTCTGGGTGGGGAAACTGAGGCACCAGCACTTTAGGCCTCCTCTCTGCCTTCAGGCCTTGCTTCGTTCCTCCTCCACTGGGCCAAGTTCCAGTCCCAGCTGTGAGGCCGGGAAAGCCACTGCCTGAGTCAGGGCCTCCGTGCTATTTCTGTCCGTGAGAAGTTTTCCCCGGAACCTCCACTTGGGAGGGGGCCTGGGAGGAAGAGAAACGGGTCGAGGCT